CATGAAAAAAGACATTGTACGATGAACAATTTCAAACTCGTCGCGCAAAAAAATAAATTTGCAGGATGCTTCACTACTCATCGCACTAAAGTTATACAAACGAAGGTTTTCGTCATACGATATAAAAGGGTACAAGTGCGCTTTGTGACTAATTTGTCTCGAAAAGTTTGCGCGACGAAAAATGTAAGAGGCGTGTGGTAATGCGCGACGAAGTTATAAGACGCACTTAATTTTGCACGAGGATTGGTCAGTGTCATGCAAGTGTAATTTTTATTAAAAAAAAACAAATAGAATAAAAGGAAAATTAAAAAAAAAAAAAAAAAAGGATTTCAAACTAATGACAAAAAAAAAAGCAAATTAATTAATAAAAAAAATTTTATTTATAATATAAATAAAAATGTACATACAAATATAAAGTTTTAAAAGAAAGCAGGAACAAAACTATGAAAAAAAAGCGGAAAAATCTATAGGAATGTTGTTCGAAGGATCTTACTGCTAGTTGGGGATGGGGTTGGAGGTCAACGGGCCTGATTGCTGTGCTTGCTCGGTGTGGAAGGGCTGTGAGGGTGATGGTGCAGAAAAACCGGGGAGATGTATTCCGGAGGAAATGAGGGCTTGCACAAGCATCGACATTTGAGACTTGTACGATGCTAGCTCACTCCTCAGCCCAGCGACTTCTTACGTCAAAGCCATAACCTAGCCCTTTGACTGCGAGGATGACAAGGCTCTACTCTCCCGCCGCCTAGCATTTCCCATCCCCCGACATTAAGTCTTTGGCCTTCGACCAAAAGTTTGGTCCAACGTCTCTGTCACGATGTGAAACCTTGCATCCTAAGGGGGATCCACAGACTCAATCGGTGTGTTCGAGGGAAGCTGGGAGGCGGACTCTTGAAGCACCGACTGACTCTTCTCCACCATAGTCGCCTGTGAAAAAAAACATGGATTATTAATAGAAAACAAGTTGAAATAATTAGTATAAATGTTGAATGCATAAGAAATTACTTACATGAAGGGACTTGGTCAACTCATCCCCAAGCCGAAAATAAACGACAGCAAAGACGTCGATCTCCGGAAATTTTGAACTCTCCTGAAATCAAAAAAGATTAAGAAAAATGTTAGTAAGAAAAAAAAAATATTAGCGTTATTTTAAAATTGGAAATGAAAGATGTAATATATACATACCGTCGCGCCTCCATCCTATAGGAGAAAGGCCTCGAACCCGAATGGTGGAGAAGAGTCTTCTTCTCCCAATTGATCTTGTTCGCCTTCACCCTCTTCTGTTATACAAAAAATAAACGTATTAGTTGTATTACTTAAAGAAAATTAAAAAAATAATAATAAGCATTAGTAAAAATTAAAAAAAAGTGAAATGAAAGAAGTCATAATTAAAAACGCACCATATAGCCCGGCTCCTAAAATCGACCGCAAAGCCAAACCCAACTATCTTGTCGGTCCTCCAACTCCTTCGGACAACCCTCTTCGAGAGCGACTTGCGGATCATCAAATTGCTAGAAACATTGGTGCATGTCACTCTTCCACTGCTTGTAGCGATCGGAGAATAGCTGATTAAGGTACGCAAACATGTCCTTGTCCATGTCCTCCAAATTGTAGTTTGTCTGCAACATAACAAATATTTTGAAAGTATTAGTAATAAAAGACAGTAATAAATAAAAATATATAAATTTTACATGAAAAGCATTAAAAAGGCAACGCTACTTATGAACAATTGGTTGCGCACCGTGTTCTTCATCTCCTCCGGCATCACCTTCCAAGACTTCCACCGCATAGGGCAAAAGGTCCGCACGACATGCCCAATGTTGTGGGCCAATGCTCTATGTTGCTCCGCCGTTGGTGCTGCTCGATGTCGCTCATCGTATCTGATTGGGATACGACCGTTGGTCACCCGGGTGACCTTCGCCGTCTTCAACTGCTGACAAGGTCCTTGGGTGTTTTTCTTCTCTGCAAAGAGATGAAAAAAAATAATTAACCCAAAACTAATAACAAATCCTACTAAAATTTCGGCATAATCTCCCCTATAATTAAAACATTTTCCAAAACCTTGAAAATAACAAAAACAATATACGTATCCAACACAATGATCACAACAGTTTAATAAAAGGTTCGGAACGATGACAACTTTTTAATCTTTACATGACATAACTTAACAAATTCAACCTAAAATAACAAAACTGATCAGTTAACATTCGCATACATTTTCTTCTTCTATTTCTCTTGAAAGTTACTTATTGAGCATCACAACTACTTCTCTGTTTCCTTTCTCCTAATTAGAACATATTTCCAATTCAATCGTTTTCAAATACCACAACAAACTTCTAAAAATGGTGACAATTGCCATCCAAGACGAACAATTATCGAGCTTGTATACACAAACTCTCGACATTGCTGGCAACAGGCTTGGCAAAGAATTCTAAGCTGTTGTAGCAAACAATTCCATATAACCTCATCCACATTGACATTTGTAAGACTCTGATAGTCACTACCGAAACTTGTACGACTCTAAAAACTTTGCTTCATGATAATTACCAAGTTTTTCATTTCCCAGTTAAACATTTTCGCCATTTCCTCAGCATCAAATCTCTTTCACAGCACTACCGTTTCAATTTCGTGAGAAACCCATTTCAGTAACTAAGAAATGACACATGAATTAACAAAAAAATTGCAAAAACATAAAAATGAAGAAACATGAATACACACAATTTCGATTTCATGACAAAACCCATTTCTGAAAGCGAAGAAATTGCGAACAAAAAAAGAGAAAACAATGGAAACCTTTTAATCCTTACATGACATGACATAACAAATTGAACCTAAAACAACAACTCAATTAACATGGGAATGAGGGAGTGAATTAGGATTGTATACCTGGCCGTGTACCCGAGGCATCGGTTGTGGATCCCAAAGGTGACATCTTGTCCGTAGTGCGGGGGCGCCGGTAAGTACGTCTGACACTAATAGGCACCAACACCAAAGAAGTCGACGATGTCTGCGCCTATGGGACTGGAGGACCAACTGGGTCAATCAGATTGACCGGCCTATGGTCCATCTCTACCGGAGCAGTGGCGGCAGTAGTAGGTGTAGTCGTCGAACTAGGTGTAGAAGTGATCGTCCTCCGAGTTCTAATGAGGTGTGACATCTACAAAATTGGAAATCAAATTGTTTCATACATAAAGATTTAACTTACCGTACACATACTAATAATTTGAACTTAAATTTAAAACGAAATTTAAAAACCCTAATTCAAGTTTTGCAGAAACAAAACTTAAAAATGATAGGATATAGACCCATCAATTATAACTTATAAGAAGAAACTAGCATAAAGGACATCCTTACAAGTTTACTACCTAAAACCAAACAAATGTGAGGTGCCTTGGATATCCTTACTACCTTATGTTTAAATAAAGACCTCACAACAAACTAATAATGTGAGAGAGAACATATCATTATTTACTAGTAAAATCCAGATTTGCTTATATCATATGGGTTCCCATATCTTTGAATAATAATAATAATAATGGAGTTCACAAACAGATTTCATTTGATTTAATGTGTTCCTATTGGTTTGTTATACCCAATGTCTAAAATATCGATGATATCGGAAATATCGGTAGTCCAAAAACACGGAAAGTTCGATGGAAATATCGGGATATTATCGATATTGATAAAAATTGAATAAAAACCACGGAAATTGTAAGAAAAACTTGGAAATTTTTATTGAAACTTTGCAGGATGTTTATTTAGTCAATTATCTATTAGTTTATCACAAAAAATTGGAAGGAAATGCATTGCATGATGGATTTAACTGATTTAAGTTGATTATATAGCGAGCTGGTAAACATTGTGAGTGTAGAAAATATGTAGTAATTAATGAAAGAAGTTTAAACACACCATAATCATTATATATAATGAATTAGTACAATATTTTACACTTTATATATTGCATAGTAAGATACATGAATGACTTAGTACCACATAGAGTTCTTATAAAGTTCAAAATTTTAGACCATGGGTAAACCTAATTATGGTAAAACAACTATAAACGCGTATCGGATTCCCAAACAAAGAAGAAAGCCATGGTCCCACCACTTGTCCTCCCCCACTAAGCGGCAAAATAACGTGTATTGGATGGTAACGTCCAGGTCATGAACCACCAACATGACATCCCATACTAGTCATCGATTTCAAAGATGCGAAATCAAGCTCAACCGTCCATTGCATCCCTTATCACATTACGGGATGGTTTGGGAGTGAGGTGCTTAAAAAAAAAGCACCCATGAAAAAAAAACTGTGAGGATTTTAGGTGTTTGGTAAACTGAAAAAAAAAGGCTTATTTTGGAAGCTGCTGTGAGAATAAGCTGAAATCAAAGGAAAAAGCTGAAGCTACTATTTGCAACTTTGGAAAATTGGTTTTTTTTCAAAGCACACGGAGCTACAATGCTCTTTTAATTAAAAGACCTATTATCAGACTGCTTTTTTTTTTTTCCAAAAGCACTTTTACAAAAAAGTTTACCAAACACTCTGCTGATTTGTTTCACAGCCACTTATTCTCACAGCACAGCCGCTTATTCTCACAGCAGCTTTTTTTCAAAGCACATCAATACCAAACCAGCCCTACAAAAGTTACATTAGGGTGGATGACTCTAAATCAAGGTTCTAAAAAACGTTAGGCGCTAGTCGGGTGGTTGGTTAGCGCCTAGCGCCTAGGCTGCTAGGCGGGGTATAAGCAGGCGTTTAGACGGATTTAGGTAAATTTCTTATATATTTTATGAATTAATTAAATTTACTATATCAAATATAAATAATTATTGACTAACATGTTATTTCTTATAGAAGAACATACGTATGTGAATGTTTTATGTACATATATGATATACTTGCCTAGGAAAAAAAATTATCTAAATAATTTATAATTTATATAAATTTATACACACACCCACACACAACATATATACCAAACTTTTAAAAATATAAAAAACCCACATAGTGGGTGGTTTTTATTATTCAAACCATCATCCCGTCCACCACACCTCTGCCTTTTCACATCATCTGTCCACCTTGGGTGATTTTCATTATTAAAACCATCAAAGTCCATGATTTTCAATATTCAAACTTTCAGCTCCTTGGATTTGAGATCCTTGAAATGTTTATCTCTCTCTCTCTCTCTCTCTTCGCACTCTCTCTTCTCTCATCTTCACAAATGACTGCAGAAATTCGCCAGCAACATTTTTTCTTTACCCGTGACACTACAAGATATGAGAAGAAGAGAAAAGGGCAGAAGATGGAAAGATTACTTGTTCTTCCGGATTCGTGTATATCGGCTTCGGATCTACCCGTTGATGGTGGTTTGGGGTTGTGAAGATGTTTGAGATGCTTTTGGAGTTTTGCTGGTTTGACTAGCTTGTGCTTGTGTTCTTTGATTCAGATTTTAAAGGTTCGTATGTGTTTTCCATTCGATTTGGTTATCTAGATATTAATCATAGCGTTTTTTTTAATTATTTGGGTGCATTTTTTGGATCTGCCAGCGAATTTCAGCTTGACACAACTTCTGATTGCTATTTTTCTTTTTAATATTTTGTTTTCGATCAGATGCATCTACTGACCTCTTACACTAATGAAGGTTCGAAGCCTTGATGTTTCTGAGATCAATTCGATCGACATCGTTTCAACATCTGCAGATCTGATTTCTCCTTGCGGTTGAAGGGCGCAAACTCATGTATATTGGTTAATCGAAAGCTATAACTGTAATATGATGATTGGGGAAGGTGAAAGATGGGGTATTTTTGGGTGGATTTGGGTTTGCACGGATGTAAGAGATGTCGAGACTTTTCAACATTTTTCAAGTATTTTTGGGTTTTATCTCGATATTATCGATAATATTGTGATATATTGCTCAAATAATGCATTAAAATGCTGAAAATATTGTTTTCGATATTATTGCGAAAATATTGACAAAAATATTGATATATTGACGATAATTAAGTGAATAAGTGTGAAAATATTGCCCTCTAAAAAAAACGATATTATTAGCGAAATATCGTCGATAATATCGATATTTTAAATCATGGTTATACCTAATTATCATGACATTGCCCTCTATGGCTGAAAACATATTTTACATATAAATTTTCCATTTTTGTCCTTCTTGGTGAATTAAGTATAGCCAAACCTAGAAGAGAATCCATTCATGACATTCCTAAAAATGTAACTTCAAAATTGGGAGACCGAATTTAACAAGCAACACAACCGAGTCTATCATATTAATAAGGCAACAACAAAGGCTAATTGTTTGGGCCCAAAATAATAGTTTGGGCCGAGTATAGAATCATTCTCAAGGCCTTGCGACAAGAATGCCATGGATCGTTCAGTACGTGGGCCTCCAAACCTAGGTCGGCTAGGTCATAACGCAAGAAGTCGAGTCCTAGTGCAATGAGGAGTCTCGGCAGGACTAATAACCCGGAAGCGAATCCGGCTCGGTTAAGGACTAAGTTCACAATCCTAGTGAAAATAGGACTGGTCGAGTTGGTGTTGATTAGGAGGAGAAGACCTAGTCCGAGTAGGGTTTTAACTCGGATTCAAAGAGATCCAGTGCTATAAATAGGGGAGGTTGTGCATCATTCAAGCCCCCTGCAAATCAATACAAAACTGCCATGCGCAAACTCTCAACAACTTGAGATTTTTCCTTCTTTTTCGCTGACACATCTTCCGTTGGCATCAACAACACTGTGGAAGCAACCGGTGATATCTTAAGTCGGCATAGATAGCTCTGTCACCGTAGAATCAGTCAATCTCGCAGTATCTTCCGTTGGCATCAACAGCACTGCGGCGAGAACGGTTGGTTACCTATCCAAGTCTCGGTCGAGGAGGATTTCCGGGTCCTTATTGATTGAGGTCATCTCATTAGCCTTCTCAGTGAAGTGAGGTGTTACGGTATATCGAGCTCGGCGCTTTGCTCGCCGAGTTATTTTATGATTGGATATTCCCAAGTGGGATTTAGAGTTCGGCATTCGGACGGCCGAACCATGTTCACCATTAAAACTTATATTTGCTTTGAGTATTTGTGCCCTTACACTTTGGTGTCGATTCGGCGTGAGTTTACTCTGACGAATAACATCACTGTGACTGAATCCGACGACGACGACTCGTGAACTTCGTAAGAATAGTAACCTTGTCTTCAGGTTCGAGAACCCAAGAGGCCGAGACGTGTTCCTTCCTCGGTCGCAATCGCAAGACGCAAGAGTTAGCCGCGCACCCAACGCAACATCAACAAATTTACTCCTCGACCGAGCTTGGCCGACGAGTTGACACGCCCGCATTCACCGAAGGACGTAGTTAGCTTATAGATTACTCGGCCTGCGCGCCACGTAGGCTTGGTAGTTTCTAGGATCAACATTTTGGCACGCCCAGTGGGACCTAGGGCTAAACTACGAAGTTCATGCCAATTGAAATGCGATCGGTAAAAAAGAAAACAGCTATGGGAAAATCAACAGCCAATTTGCCGATTCAGAACGTAGGACACAATGTGCCACAAGCGCAGAATCCCATCAGCGCCGTGACACCTGAGTCCACGAGCGCAACTCGCCGAGAAAGGGAAAATCTCGGCGGTCAGGTTCGCAGTCTTGAAATTCCTGACAGGAACACTTGCGTTCTCAATGAAGGAGTAATAGAAGATTGTGATGAAGATGGTGGCGAAGGATCCGATCCACCCACAAGGTCGTTTCTTCGAAAACGGCTTGACGAGCAATCTTGGACGGTTGAACAGACATTGAGTCGAGGAATCGATAAGCTTCATGACATGATACGCAATTTCAATGAAGCACAAACCAGATTTCTCGAAATACTGGTTAGTAAGGTCAGCAATGGTAGAACTTTCGATCTTGCCCAACATTTGCTGCCGAGGAATAATCTATTATCAAGTGCACCGGCCGAGCCAATTCCTGCTTGACTCAGGCCAATTCAATTGGAAAGAGGAGGAGGGTCGAATAGTAGGTCAGACGGATCCGACCAGAGAGTGGAAGTAACGCCCGTCGATATGACCGAAGTTCAACGGATGATCGATTCAGCCATGAAGAAAGGGCCGAAGTTCCCTAAGTTTATACACCCGTATCCAACTTACGTAGAACAGGTCGAATACCCTAGAGGTTTCAAGATCCCGGATTTTAGCCTTTTTGCCGGAGAATCATCTTTATCCTCGTTAGAACATGCTCGCTTCACCGCACAATGCGGAGACGTTAATAGTGACTTTCACAAGCTGCGACTATTCAATTTTTCGTTGACCGGCTCAGCGTTCGCTTAGTATATTAACCTCCCACCGAACTCCGTCCAGAGTTGGGAGGAGTTGGTCGAGAAATTTCATGGGCAGTTTTATCGGCCGGGAATGGAAATGTCAGTATCCTCACTAGCAAGGATGGCTCAGGCGTCCGACGAGTCACCAATGAATTATCTTACTAGATTCAAATCAGCTAGGAATTGGTGCCGAGTGCCTCTCCCCGAAGTTGAATTCGTCAGACTTGCTCTGAAAGGTCTTGACGTCGAATACAAAAAGAAATTCTTGGGGGTAAACTTTCGGGATATGTACGAATTAGCCCAACATGTCGAGCAATATGATTATTTGCTCTGCGAGGAAAAGATTTCGAAAGCTCCATCTCGGGGGACGATTTACAAGAATCCTACTGTCAATTATGCATCAACCGAGGATGAATGCGTTAGTGTGGATGCAGCTGAGATAGTGATAGATAAGCCATACGTTTGCAAGACACTGACTCAAGTTGACTCTAAGGAAGTCAAAATCCGCTCGGCTACTGAAGGAGCATTGAAACCGTCGAAAGTTTATACTTTTGATATTACAAAGGCCGATGCAATTTTTGATCAACTGTTATCAGCAAGGATCATCAAACTTCGGCCTGGGCACAACATTCCCAAGGCCGAAGAGCTTAAAGGAAAGATATATTGCAAATACCACAATTCAAGCAAACACATGACAAACAATTGCGTCGTGTTTCGAGACAACGTCCAAAGCTGGATTGATAATGGCAAACTGAAATTTCCAGAGAAAAAGATGAGTGTTGATACTGACCCGTTCCGCACGGCAACAGTAAATATGGTCGATGCGTGCCTACCTAAAGACAAAGGGAAAGGGAAGGCCGAAGTTGTTGCGACGCAACGCTTTCGGAATCAGAATTGTCGACCACGTTTCATGGCTGATTTTCGTTCAAACGAACCACCTACAGCTTTAACAGGACTCGCTATTGTCAAACCTATGATGGATTATAGCACCGATGAAGACAGTGGGACGGCAGTTTTGTGCAGTAAATGTAGAGCAAAGGTCGGTAGTGAGCCAGAGGAGAAGCCCTCTTCGCTTATAACGGAACGACCTACGGCCGCAACCCAGCAAAAGGTTGCCAACGTAGGCCAACATCAAGGGGTTTTTTTATAGGCTCGGTCTTAAAGTGAGGATAGAAGAGGCACCCTCAGTCAGGCGGCGCCTTGATTTTGATGCTTCATTTTATGACGAGGACTACTATAAACGTAATTCTAGCAGTTCGGAATCATCGCGGAGCCAAAAAACTTTCAAACCTCCCAAACCTAGCGATCAACGTTGGTATACATATCATTCTTCGAAAGGCGTCTACACCGCACTATCCAAATCCCAGAAACGCCGGCACCAAATGATAGATTGCATGGCCCGCCGACAGGCAGCCTAAGAAACTTCGGTCCCTCAATGGCGGCCGAAGGACACAATTGTTACTGAGGATGAACGACCACCTCCAGCTATTATGACAGAGTTGGTTCAAGGGAAACGGCTGGTCAACCGAGATGTCGAAACCATGTTCGAAGAGGCTGATAAACGGATCAAACTTCTTATTCGGCTGGGGGAGATGAAGGCATGCCTCGAGCATTTCAGGCAAGAGGCCGAAAACAAATTAGCCCCGCCGGCCATACAAGAGCCTTTGATCAAAATTTGACGGAATTTACACCCACCGTTCCTCGGGGAGGCTTTGGAATACATGCGCGAATTTCATAAGAAACATTCGGCCAATGATCTGTATGGTTTGCCGAAGGCATGTCAGGACACAATTGATCTAGTCCTGACTTGTCCTGATGCCGAGCGAATCATTCAGAAGACTTCAGACCCAGGATTGAAAGCAAGGTTCCAGCACATATGAGATGCTCGTGTCCTTGGATTTAAAGTCGACCCATACACTGATATCGATGCAACCGACCTTCCTTTCTCAATGGAGGACCTTCAGTATTTACGATATCACTTCGAAGTATTTTCGGCTGTTTCTCTCTTCGGCCTTATGACCGATGAAATAACACGTGTTGCGTGATTGGATACTTATCTCGACACCAGGGATGCCCGGATACACTACCAGGAGCATGCTCGGATCTTGACCCCAAGCACACTGTCGATCTCAACCTCACTTGAGGCAATCACGCAGAACCAACAAGCTGCCGAAGCAGCACCGCAGGATCAAACCATTGAAGAAGGGTATCTTTGTCCAACTCTGACAACAACGGAAGCCGTAGTCGCCGACCAGACGAGAAATGAGGCTAGCGAGGAGGATCCTAACCCGATGGGCCCGCCAGTCTTAGATAACATGGAAATCAGTATGGTCCATGTGTTACCCGCTGCTTTTCAATCAAGCACAGCTCAGCCGAATTTCCTCGATGGTGATGTAATCGCCGAGGAAGACGGCCATGTTGATTTTGTATCTGTTGTCGAAGTTGACTCTACAACAAAAGATGACAATATTAAAGCAGCTTTGGCCGAATTGTTTCCTCACTCATCATCGGCCAACCTCCATCATTTGAAGCCGTTGTATGTCACGGCCCATATCGAAGGGTATCCAGTCTCCAAAGTTTTTGTCGACTGCGAAGCGACGGTCAATATCATGCCTGTAAACATCATGAAGGCGTTGCGTCGCTCCAATGACGAACTCATTCCTTCCGGGATCACAATGAGCAGTTTCGTCGG